GGCGCGGCCGGTTCCATCGGCGCGACGAGCGCGGGGGCGCCATGAGGCGGGGCTGAGGCCGGAGCGGGAGCGGCACCGGGAGCGGCACCGGGACCGGCACGGACACGGAGCCCGGCGGGCCCGGCCGCCGCGCCATGCGAGCGGGCTGAGCGGCGGGCAGCGCCGCGGCACGGCACCGAGCGCCGGGGGAGCGCCTCCCGCAGGTACGGGGTGCGGCGGCGGCCGCAGGCCCGGGCTGCGCGGACAGGGCCGGTGCCCGGGGTGGAGGCGGCGGGCAGGGCCCGGGGCCGAGGGAATGGGGAGGGCAGCGCCGGGGCAGCGGGGCGGGGAGGACGGCGGGCAGGGCCCGGAGCGATGGGGCGGATGCAGGGCTGGCGGAGCGAGCGCGGCCCGGTGCGGCGGGGGCGGCCGGGCCGGGCCGGGCCCGGTGCGCAGAGGGGGCGGATGGCCGGGGCGTGCGGGGGCGGCGGCAGCTGCTCGGGGCACCGAGACACCGGGGCAGCGGCCGTAAAGCGCAGCTGGGCCCGGTGCGGCCGCACGGCGGTGGGAGGAGCCACCGGTGCCCGGAGAGCCCCGCGGGGAGAAAGGGCCCCGTGGCGGGGCCTGCCCGGGGCAGCGGGGAGGGGGCAATCCCTGCCGGTCCCGGGGGCTGCCCGGACCTGCCCCGGCTGGAGCCTCTTCTCGGGGGCTCCCGCGGCCCCGGCCGGGCGGGGGTCGGCGGCTCCTGCCGAGGCTGGTGCTGTGTCCTTGCCCTGCTGCGCACCCCGGGGTGCCCCGTCCGCTGTGCCCCTGCACCCCGTGAGCTGTGCAAGCCCCGGCGTGTGAGAGGGGACGGGAGGGGAAGTGGTGAAGTTCTTCGGAAAGTTGCGTTTGGGGAAGAGGTAGGAAACAAATGAGCCTGAACTGCCGGGGCGGTGATGGTGGCATGCGGGGTGGTGGCAGCGGGACAGGCTGTGCCACCGGCGCTGCAGGGTCTGTGCTGGCAGCGTGGGCTGTGTGCGGGGCCCGTGGCAGCCCTGTCCCACGGAGGACGTGTGGGACCGGGTTGTGGGCATCTGGGATGTGCCCCCGGGTTTGCTCTCCTGGGCAGCTGAACCCCGCAGCCAGGCAGGTGCTGTCTCTCCGTGCCCCTCTTCCCACGAGCATTGCTCGGGTTTGTGCTGGTGCCTTGTCTGCCAGCTCTGCACCAGCCCTGTGCTCCAGCACAACTGGCCGTGTGTCCGCAGCTCCGGAGCTCGTCCCCGTGCTCGCCTCCTCACCGTCCTGTGCCACTGCCTCGCCCTGTCCCTCTGCTGCCTCTGCTCACGTCGGCCCTGACGCCCCAGGACCTCGAGGTCCCCCTCGAGTTGGGGCCTCGTGCCCCGGGGAGATGGGCAGGGCAGAGACCGGCAGGGCAGGTGGGTCCCCGGGGCCAGGCAGGAGCCCCGGGAGGAGGAGCGGCTGTCGGAGGGGAGCCGGCTGCGTCTGATGTCACTGCGGTGCATGGTGGGTAATTATGCACGTTGCAATGAAAATAATAAGGCCGGCTCCATAGTGGTGTCTAAAAATACTGCTAATGCAGAGTGCCTGCCGGGCGCCTTTGTTTGTCACCTTTGGGTGGCTGCTTTGGGGCTGGCCGGGTGGCATCACGCCCCTCAGCAGTGGGTTTGGTTTCGCAGGTGGTCTGTGGCCCTTCCACGCCTCCCTGCAGTGGGAGCAGAGACAGGGCAGGTGTTGGCATGGGAGGTGAGGCAGGAGGCACCTGTCTGTGTTTGGGAGGCTCCAGTGTCACTCCCCTGCAGATGTGCAGGGAATCTCAGTGGGGTGGCAGGGCTTTGTCCCCCCCAGCTTTGCTTGGAGCGAGTGCTCTGAGTGGTGGCTGTACAGTGTCCCAGTGACCAGCCCTGATGTCTCCTGGCAGGTACCAGTGTGCTGGCCTGCTCAAAGGTGGGTCGACACAGATTGGGGTTTGGGCCCTGGTGGTGTGGTCTGTCCATCGCTGGCTCACTGGGCCAGGGTTTCTCGACCTGCCCCCTGGGGCTGCCTCAACAATGTGTTGTGGCATGACCAGGACTGTGGCAACTTGCTGCTTTCTGAATGAGCAAAGGCCAGGGGAGGGAGGGATACGTCCCAGGGCAAGGACTGCCTGGCACACTGATCTCTGCTCCATGGTCTCTGCCTGGCTGCTCTCTGTGCAGCTCTGGCTGCTGCTGTGATCCTTCCATCTGCTGCCACTGCTGGAAGCTCCCGCTGCAGTGGAGGGAGAGGCTTGCAGGGGTGATGAGAGCCATCTAGAGCCCACCAGTGTGGCAGGGTGAAGGTGGTGTGTGGCAGGGCAGCAGCAGAGGGCCTGGAAGGACAGGAAATGGGGAGCCTGTGTACTCGGGTCTCTGTGATGAGTCTCTTCCCTTTTGTGTGTGGAGAGCTCGGAGTTGTGGTGGCTGCTCCTAGTTCTCAGTTGATGCTTCTGGTGGGCTCTGACTCCAGCTGTCAGTCATGGGAGGCTGAGCCTTGTCCCTCTTCACTGTGGAGCAAGTGGGGAGGTATCACCTTGCCTGTGTGCTGTGTTGCTTTGCCTTTAGGGTCACGGCTGTGTTTTTGGGGCCCCATGCTGGGCTCTCGCTTCACTGGAGGGGGAGAACTGCCACTACCTCCGCTCTTCCCAGGCACTAACTCTGACCTCTGAAGCCACACATGGCAGTGGTGTTCCCTTGAGCAGTGAAACACACCGTCCTTACCTGCTGCACCACCTGGCTCCCTTTGGTGAGTGAGGAACAAGGAATGGGGAGAGGAGACTGTGAATCCCCATTGATCTGCAGCGTGAAAGCTGTGTGTTTGCGTCTGCCTGCCCCGGACTGGGGCTCTGCGAGGGGAATTGATCAAGCTGTAAAACCCAGAGCCAGCTAATGAAATAGGGACTATAGATTTTTATTTTAAATGGAAGAGAGTTTACGGGAGATTTAATTATCCTTCGTTTATGGACCTGTTAGAGGAATGAAATAACAGCTGGCAGGTAGGGGCTGGGCTTCAGCTGGCAGCACTTTTCTCCCAGGTGTCTGCAGTCCTGCCACCTAAGGCAGTGTGGGGAGTGATGTGAAGTCACTCAGAGCAGAGCAGGACAGGGCAAAGTCCTGCTTGTCCTGCCAGGTGTCCCTGTTTCCTGGTGGGGGCTTCTGTGCTCAAATAATGGAGGGGCTAGCCCTGGGCAGTTGGGGCTGGTGTAAGAACAGCTCTCCTTGTCCCTTGGGCTTTGCGTGGGCCTGTCCTCGCTCTGGTGGACATCAGGGAGTTCAGGAGGCTGTGTCCCTCCAGGTGTCACTTCCCAGGGCCGTGGACAGCGAGCTGTCACTGACACCCCTGTACCTGCGCAGTGTGCGGGGTTTGTAAAGCAGAGCTGCAGAGTGCTGGGACTCACTGGGCTCAGCCGTGTGTCGGACACCAGCTGTAACGCTGTCACTACAGCCACTCCTCCCGTGTGCATCCACTCCACTGTCACGTGAGCCCAGCCGCGGGCACGGCTCAGGAGGTGGTGGCAGCAAGCGGCACAGTGCTGGTTTTTGGTGGAAAAGCCTGGCTTATGGATGCTTTTAGTTTTTCATCTCTGAATCAAGGAGCCGGTGCATAGCATTTTCCCACCATCTCTTGGCTCCCTGCTTGGACCAAGCTGGAGGAACATGGTTCGTCACCTGCCCTGTGTAGGTGAGTGGTTGGCCAAGGGGTTTGTGTACCCACCAGGCAGGCATAGCCCACAGGGTGCAGTCTGATGTGGCCAGAGGCTGCTAAAACATCCAAGGAAGCTGCTGGTGCTGGGGAGCCCTCCCAGAGGCCCTCTGACAGTGGTGTGCAGGAACATGGGAGAGCCCGGCCCTGAGCCCTGCAGTCATGGAGATGCACAAGGATGTTGCATGGCTCCCTGAGACAGGTCACTTCTGGAGGGGAGCAGCATGGATCCCTGCTGTTGGCTTGCAGGGGTGTTGGGAGAAGCCAGCCTGCTGATTCTCTGGGCAGCAGAGCTGCACCATGGTGCTTATCCTTTCCTTCGCCCTTGCATCTGCAAGTCCTCAGCATTTCAGGGCAGGAGCCATTTCCTGTAGGGCACGAGCAGCCCAGGGTGCCCATGTGCAATATGGGGTGTTTGGGTTTTCTGGAGTGGAGTGGTTTGGGAGGGCTCCACACTTTGCTGCTTGTATGGCAGAGGGCAAGGCAAGCAGCGTCCCCAGCAAGCAGCACTCATGATGGGCCTTGGGAATATTATTTTCCAGCTGCAGCTTGATCCCTGGAGAGCTGGCCTCGCTGGCTGTGGAGCTGTAGCTCTGGGCTTTCCTTGGCTACTCTGGAAAGCAGGATGAAGGATTTCAGCTCGACCATACAGAGCGGAGGACTGGCCTGCAATGCTTTGTGTTAAGAGCTGCTTCCTCTTGTGTGAGCCTGTGTTGTGGTGATCCAGGCCTCCAGCACCTCTCGCTGTTGCCCCTGGAAAGGGAGGGCTCATGCTTTGATCCTTCTTTCCCCCAGCCTGGCAGCGCCAAGCTGTGGTCCTCTCTGGCAGGTTGTCTTTTCCCTGCTGTGCTGGTGGGGCTCCCTGGCAGCGTTTTCATTTTGAGCCAAGTGTCTTAGTTGCTTTTCTCTCCGTGCCTGCGCTTTAGGAAAGTGGCGAACAATAAAAATCCAGTGGCAAGAGCTGTAGCAGAGGTCAGGCAGCTCCTCTGCCCCAGGCTGCTCTCTTGTCACCGCACAGCCGTGCTTTGTGCGCGGGGGCTGTCAGCTTGAAAGTCATGTTTTTGCTCTTAAAGCCTTCCCCAGGCACTGGTGTGGGGTTCTGTGAGTGATGTACTCGGGAGATATTGTAGCAAACCTCCCTTGCATTTAGGGCAGTGGTCACTGCCTGTTTCGATGCATCTTGTAAGCAGCCTCTTGGCAAATCTTAAATCAAGGACAAAGGAGGGTAAGTGGTTGCTGAAAATCATGAATTTCTCTGAGCTCCTTTCTGAAAGTGATCGTTGCAGGTTGTCGGTGTCCCCGCAGGCTTCTTAAAATGCAAAACAAAACACCCAGCCCAACTTCCTGACTGTCACTAGTGCTTTCAAGAGACGCTTCGTTTTGCTGAGTGGTAATGAAATTGGTCTTCGCCATCCACCAGCTCCTGGCTTTGCTGCTGGAGCTGCTCTGCCTGAGCACAGCTGGGGAGCAGTGGGGAAGGTGTCTGGAGCCCAGCCCCTCCTGCTCTTGGTCCCTTGCTTGGCAGATGCCATTAGCACTGTCCACAGCATGTAGCAAGCGGGTTGGACTCAAAGGGATGCTTGTGGAGAGGTGGCAGGTGAGCTGGGGACTCCAGGGATGCTGTGTGGGGATGGGGAGTGGGGACTGAATCCCTGCTCCCTGGGTTGGCTCTGCCCAAGGAGGGATTGGATGTGTTTTAGGAAAGGGCTCTTTGAAATGAGAACTAAAAGGTGAAATGCAGAGGAGTATGGAGTCCTGAACTGCAAGCTCTGTTGGTATTCCTACAAGGGAAGGACTGTGGAGGCTGCCCAGGCACTTGCTCTTCTTCCCCCCACCCGTGTGCAACTGAGATGTAGAACCCATTTTTTGATGCTGTTCAGCTACAGAGGTGCCTGAGCTGGACCCAGTTGCTGCACCAGCAGCCTTCTGGTCATGCTGTTCAGGTTGTGCTGGTGTTTCTAGGGCAAACGAAGGAAAGTGGAGATATCTCTGCAGATTATTTACCCCGTCCTAAGGAAATGAAGGCTTGTGCAAGCTGCAAGCTTATTGTTTATTTGTGAGCATTCTCCTCTCTGCTTTGAACTTGCTGGATGGTGTCAGCTGGGGTAGGTGTTAGGTGTGTGGATGATGTCTCAGAGGTCTTGGCTTGCTACAGGCTCCAGCTCTCGGGGAGGAAGGTGCT